GCAGGATGCAGGGAAGCTTAGGAATGCTGGCCAAAAGCCTATGGCGTGCATGAAGGCAGAGGCATGTTGTTGTATTGTCTACTAGTCGAGGCATCCCCCGACATCCCGTGGTCATGTGACGTGTGTCGGATTCGCCGGCATACCTTACGTAAATCACAAGGCGGCTTGCCAGACTAGCACAATGAGAGCACGGCCGACTATCGGTGATGCTCGGTCCGTTGGCATACTTGGGTTCGCAGTCTTCCGTTGACAATCATCGCAGAAGAAAAAGTGGTATTAGTCTATGTACTTCTATACGGACAGCCCTATCTACATGGGGTATCCTAAGATCAGAATGAAACGAAACCATATGCGAGACACCAAAAACACCGGCTAGGCTTCGCAGAGCTGAACAGAAATACAACGCAGGATGGATGCAACCCAACTGACCAGGAAGAATGCAAGCGAGCGAGCGTTGGTAACAAAGAACTGTCGGGGCGCTCTGCCATGGGGTCATGAAATGGGTATGATCCGCAAAGCCGCCAGAGATTATAGGGTATATAGATGCGAACCGGAAGGAAAACAAATATCTTCAAAACCAAGTCAGAGAAAGCCGATCGTACAATCGTACAATAGATGAACGCTTTGTGCAGCGAGGCCAGCGTGCGATGTTGGGACATTAGCAGGCACTCACTTTATGGACAGGAACGCGCCGCGGCCACAGGACCGGGAAAGATGCGGCGATCAAGTCGACGCGACGAACTGAAATGTGCCAAAGTTGAGTGACTCGCTCTTATCATCAGCATATTGCGGAGAGAGATGCGTCAGACATGAACCGCGGGATACTGCATGTGTGGAAGCGTCCCATCCAGCTATCACCGTTGGGGTCTCATTGAAACCCCAGCCCATAAACAATGGTCTGCTCCCTGGATGCAGGGGCGGTGACCCTTTTACGCGTGGATGAATCCTCGATGTGCAGCAAATGACCGATTTCCTTTACCCAGTCCCGCTCTTAGTGTGTGTAGTTTATTGAAGAGGCTTCTGGGCGATGATGCGATAACTGGTTGTCACAAGTCGCATGGTATCCATCTTGATGAAAGCCTCGCCGTCGAGACACAAGCGGTTGATCAGGGTCTTGAAGTGGCGGGGCAACACGTGGGTCTTGACCAGTCCCAAAATGACCTGGCGCATGGAGCGGAAGTAGAAGTCAACCTTGTCAATGAGGGGCGCCTGCAGACCTCCAACACTGGCATTGTCGGAGCGGACGACAGAGAAGCCGGCATCGGTAAGGGCCTTCTCGAGACTTTCGGGGGTGGGAGTGCCAACAGCACCGATCAAAGGCTTTACGCGACGCATGAGTTCGGTATGCTCGGGGTTGCTCGGATCGTAGTCGGGCAGGCTAACCCAATCGAGGAGGGAGATCTTGGCGCCGGGCTTGACGACGCGGTAGATTTCGCGGAAGAGGGAGGGAAGGTCTTTGCACAGACTGAGTGCTTGGATCTGGTAGAAAGCGTCGAAGCTAGCGTCCTCGAAAGGCAGGGGAAGATTGTTAAAGTCCTGGACGACGAAAGAATTATTCGTGAAGCCGAGCTTCTCATTGTAAGTCTTAGCCTGGCCAATCTGATTGGGATCGATGTTGAGTCCCGTGACCTTCGCGCCGGAGTATTGCGTCATGTGCGCGGCCACTCTTCCGCGACCGCAACCCAAGTCCAACACGTGATCGCCGGCGCTAAGGCCGATATCCTGCGCAATCGATTCCTCGTACAACAACTGGTTCTCCAGCACGGTCGCCTTCTTGCTCATGAATGGGGGGATGTACATCTTCTCCACGTCGCCCAGCGCGCACAGATGGTTGAGCACTCCATAGTATGCCTTGAGGCAGTCGCCAACCTTTGCCTGATAGTCCGGACCTAGCGTCTCAATCATCGCTTTCTCGTCAGACCAGTCGAGATTATAGATGACGTAGGATGCCATGAAGTCATCGACCTGCTTGGGGGTGAGGTTGTTCAGATACCGGAAGGCCTTCCAAAAGGTCTTCCATCGCTTGGGCGACGCCGAATTGTGCAGATCAGGGCGAGTTTGGGGAAGCTCCTTGTTGGCGAGCTTCTGCTTCTCAACAGCGTCCAGGGAGCTGCTCTCGGAGCTCCGGCCGGACTGGCGCGACGCCAAGACGGTTGTTTGGGTATCCATTTCTTCACGCTATAAGATTAAGAGCTTGATCGCGGCGTTGACAGCAACAAAATTCAACGGCAACAGCAACAGCTGGAAGCAACGACAGCAGTGCGAGATTAGGAGTGAGGGAAGTGCTTAGGGGGAGTGGTTGGTTGGTGACAGGGCAGTGGGTGAGAGACTAGAGACGGCGGTTATTTTCGTTGTCCAGAAAGTGCCATGCCAGAGTCGCAATGCGATTTCTCCCTCTTTTTTTCTCTCGACAAGATGGAAAGGCGGGGCTAGGCTTTAATTTATAAGCACTGCAACGGAGGGAATTTTTTTTTTTCTGACTCCTCTTTCCTGTAACAGTGAGGTGCCTCTGCAACGGCGCTGGGCGGCGCCATCGGGGGGGATCTTAATAATATTGATTGATTTGCCGTATGACCTGCCATGGGAAGTTAGCGATGGCCACTGTGGATTAGCCATTGTCACCGGATCTGGAAAGCATCGGAAGAGTCGGAAGTGGCAGGTCCAGAGCAGCACGGGAAGGGACGGCAGCGACGAACCGGAGGATGGAGAATGAAGGAGAGTCATGGGCGATGCGCGTTGGCTCTGGCTCCGTTGTTTGGGATTTGCCTTTGGAGCATAACGGCTACCACTACTTGGACTACGGCGGCAGGGTCATCTCCTCACAGGAATCAGCCCCCCTGTTAGTTTGGCGGTAAACTATTTGCTGGGAGAGGAGTGGGGGAAGAGCTGTCGCTACTACGCACGTTAACTCTTAGTATTCGACTAGATTATCGGCCCTGGAATGAGTCAAGGGTCTGCCGGCCACATCACGGACCTCTTTTCCCCTCTGATCACCAGAGCTGCTGTGATGCCACTGGGATGTATCTACTGTACTTCGGATAAATTGCTCACCACTGATTGACTGCGAGCGAGCTTGACAGTTAACTACTACTGTTAGACTCCTGGAGTTTTACCAGCAGAGCCATCGTCTAACAGCTTGAGACTGGTAACTAATAGTGGTTGTCTTCATGGAGTGATGCGATGGTTCAGGGAACTGCTAGTGTTGGAGCTAGTAGAGAATTAGTGTGTAGAGGAAGGAGCTGGGTAACCCACTTCCCAGGGTACTTGCTGTGTAGTGTGTACCACTACCACAGTACGTACATGATTTCTTAGCACCCACCACTACCATTAACTAGTGCCGTGATCCGTCCAGGGTGTTTTGCTGACGGTGTCCACCAAGGCTATCAGCTCTCTGGTCTATACACCGAGTCCGAGCCGTTCGTTTATTTGTTCCTGGCGCGCCAAGCTGTCTCCATCGCGTAGTGGAATGCAAAGGCCCATTCACGGATGAGCTGATCAATGGGCACCCGCCGTGCAAAATGAGCACGGCCTTGGCAATCAATGCTTACTTCTCCTCACAAGCAACGCTCCCGAAGCCGGACCACTTCGAATTATGATCTCGAAGGCCTTCATACCCATGATTTTATGAGCCAGACTAAAATTTGCTGCTTGGTTTGCCATTTCCGCCTACCTCTGCCCTATAGGGATGTTGCCATGGCTTGGCTTTGAACGAAGGGGCGATTGTTTGAAGTGAGGAGCTATTGACGATCCATTTGTCGGTTCCCTACCTACGGAGGACAATGGTAGGTATTACCCAAGAGTTTCTCGATTATCCCTCATGTTCAGGCCCTATGGTTCCCGAGTGGTCTTGCAAAATTTTTCTTAACGATCGCATCTTTTCTTTATTTTTTTCGAACCAGACGGCTTCTGACTGGATCAGGCAATTCACCGCGCCTCGGACTTCCCACCCGAGCATCCGCCCCACCCGCGCCTCGCTCTTCTGGCCGTATTTCCGTTAAACTCTTCATCTCGCTCTTCCGCTGGTCTTCCGTATCCGTATCTCCTGGCTCCGGCTCATCTCCGTCTCTCTGGCCTCCTGTGTCAGACATTGTCTTGGTAAGAAGCGTTCCATTCTTCCTATTCTTCTAGCGACTTCTAGGGTCCCTCGGATCGGGGTTTGCGGCACGTAGAAGGCAAATTCCCGTTGGTGTTGATTTTTGAAACCTTTTTCACCGATCGCCTTCGTCGTCATCAGCTCGTGGAGACATACTCGAAGTCACTGCGCTGCGCGATGATCACAAGGCCATCCACCGTTTAATGCGGAGGGGAAGAGAGATTGGCATGTACTCAGTTCTCACTGCCAGCCAACCGTCCGGGGATGTTGGAGACAAGAGATCTCGTCGTATTTACCTCATGTAGCATGGATTGACGGTCGCATATACTTCGTCGTGGGATGCAAGTCCATCCTGCGGAGTCGGCTAGATTGATGGATTGATTACTCTTACGCGTGTAGGCCAGTCTGGAAATGACGTGGCTGGCCTGGCCTGGCCATTATCACACCCGTTATCCTTGCTCGTGCAGGTGCAGCCCAGTGGTCCGACCTTTTCTTTGTCCCTCGTGTGTCATGCCGTCATGGATCGTCGCACGCTTTGATACTACGTGGGACAACAGGAAGAGGCGGATTTCTCCGTCTTATGTGGTATTCGCAATGAACATCATGCGCTTTTTTCATTGTTAGTACCTTTTTCTCCCTCGCGCTATATTGACAGTACCCACTTCGCTCCACTCTGGCTCCGACTCTATCCTCAGCGCGGCAGTCACACCAACAGTAATCCTTGAGAGAGAAACCCAGAGAATGCATGCTTTCGCTTAGTGTCGCTCGTTCTCTCGTAAGTCCGAAGATAGACAAATTACCACGATAATTAAAACCAAATTTTATCAAATAAAATATTATCACCACAAGAATAAATTAAAAAAATAGAAATAAAAACCCTATCCTCACAAGAACAAACCAGCACGTGACCACACTGAATCGGCAACAATTTCCGCGTTCCTCCGTACCCTTCATGACCATAGAAAACATCACCACCACGACAAAGAAACCATCAAACCCAGATGTATAGCATCAAAAGACGTCCAAATAAGCTTATATTTAAAGCCCAGCCCTCCCCGAACGCCTACAGCAAGCCATCCTCCAAACGGAGCGCACAGCGAGCAGGTTCCAGGCCCACTCTCGCCATTAGGCAGCCAGATATTTCCCTTCTAACTATCCTGACTACTGGGTACATCACAACGGGAAAGGGTAAAGGAGCAAGCGCCAAGATAATTCTCGAACCTCAGATCAGCTGTTCGTCCGAGCTGCTGGGTGGCGACTGCTTTGGGGATGGAATTCCCATCTATTATTCGTTCGGTGGGTTGTGGACGGGAGGGTCGGTGGTAGTGGTGGTGGGATTGCCCTCGTGGGTACCGGTGTAGTACTTCTTCTTATGGGATGATCTCGGTGTGCTGAGATGTACCTCCCTGTAGAAGGGCAGTGTGTTGTTAGTAGTAGGTTTCTGCTGGGTTCGGTGGGCAGGTAGGTAGGTAGGTGTGGATTCAGGGTCTACTCCGATGGGCTGGGTCCTACTTACTTTACTGACTCCGAGTCACCTTTGTTTAATTCCGATGGTTGATCCTATTCGTGCGTGCCTTGATCCTGCCTGCTGGTGATTAGTTAAGAAGGATCTTCTTTTTTTTTTTTTCTTTGTCTTATCTAAGCTCTTGCTACTTTGTCGGGTACTAGTATTAAGATGCACACCCATGTCGGGATGTCTGGCCACTCGAAAGAGGGAGTTGTGGGTTTTCAAGCTCCCTGAATAAGGGGAGAATATCCAATAGTAGCCTAGAATGCCATTCTCAATGCTTGAGTGGAAGAGCTAGACCCAGTGATGTGCTTTTTACCCTGTACTGATGCCCTAGGAACATGTCGGATGTACCGGCAACGATAGCGGAGTTTGATGGATGACAGCTAACCTGACATAGAAATGCAGATCATCCCGAAAATCCCGTTAGTAGGGGTCCTAGAGCTTGAAGTTTTAGTCATAGTAAGTTGCCTTTAGCTGTGGGTTTGTACCAATAGAACGGCAGTTGCGTCTTCCAGCTGTAGTAAGTAGTAGCTCCCGCAGCAACATGAAATATGACTCGCGAAAATCAGTGTACAAGATGAGTACAAAGAGATCAGGTGACCTTGGCTTTTGCCTCTTGTGGTGTCTGCAGATGTTGCATGCCTCCACTTTGTCTTGAAGTTTTACTGGTCATCTTATATGTGAATCTCTTTATTTCTTTCTGCAGACTTTACCGACTACTTCTTAATGCAGTCTCTTACAAAGTGCATGATTGCTGAAAGCCTATATTTCTTTATAATACGACAAATGATCTACTTGTATGTATTAGTTGTACCTTGCTGGCAATATGTTTGTTCGATGCCACTAGTAGAGCATAGATTGCAGTCGCCAGAACCAGCTGACAAATCATCAAGATGCTCGTACACAGTCTATCTAAAAAGTCTTGCAGCTCAACATTTGTAACTCATGTTTACTAATCTTTAAATTCATTTATTCATTAGACTTACTCTGCCTCATTTATAACAGCAGTGGGAGTGGAGAGCAATGTTACGGCTTTTATCTTATTTTTTTGGGCCGTGAGAATATGCTCCTACCAAATATAATGATACATCAATGAATACTTTCCCCTTATGTATTCAAGTTCAAAATACTTTGCCAGCAACACTGAGAACTTGGTTGATTTATCTGTGGATTGTAGCTGATGGTCGTTGTGTTGACATTATTTTTGGGAGGATCTGATCTGTCGGAGATACCCAGCTATCTTGCCTACGCAGGACCGGGAGTCTCCCACACAAGATATCACGTAGCCTAGTACGCATCTGCGTCTATAAAGGAAACCCTCTTTCTGACATTGAATTAGCAAGTAAGGTTCTTATTTTAATCAGTTTAAACAAATCTTTTATTCATATCTATACGGTTCTCAACCTCACAATGGATTCATGCAAGAAGTTTAGCCTACCTTTGTGAAAATGAGTCACTTTGGTCATACACTTGAACAATTTCGCTTTTGTGGGGATGTCTGGAACTGTTAATGCAGATTATATTAGTGCCATATGGGAGTACAGCTGTGAATAGCACGACAGCCTTCCTTCTATATGCCTATGGAAATGGCTAAACATATATATAGCTCGATAATGATCTTAGAGAAGACCCCTTCCAGCTAAGCAACCATGGCCTTCGGAGCCATGACCACTGACTCTCATTCTACAAGTCACCCTATTCGCCCTTGGTGCAACCTATATACCCAAATATACCTATAGCACGGTATATGTCCACGCTCATTTATGGAATTCACACATACAAACCGTTTGCCCTAAGCCCCGAAACAAACCACCGTGGTGAAGGTGCACACGAACCCTTCTTGATAGAGAAAGAACACGAGAGCACCTTCCTTCTCTTGCACCAATTTAAGCTACACCCTCCATCACATTCCTGAGACCATACTTAGGTACACTCTACTCATCACTGTTTCATTTACCTATTATTTGCTGAACGGCATTACACTCGTTCAATAGTCAGCTCTATCCTTATACACCTATAATTATCACACTCCATCCAACAGACGTCAGCAATCCTCATTTTTCACCATGCCTCCTAGAGTGAGAAACACCATGTGCTGTTCTTTACCAACATATACGCAAACTCTGTCTCATATTTTCTCCAGAGATCCTACAGAAAGAGATATGAAACAGACCAGACCGATCGCCCAAAAGCGCCCATTGAGAACATGACCATGGCTGACGCGGTATGTCACGCCGGTCTATCTACATGTTGAACTTTGCCACTGATACATGCACCATGCAATATCTAGGGACGTGAACTACAACGACTCACCAGAAACATAATGCACGCTAAACGAAATATAAAGCGCTGGGAATCGGAGCATGAGGAACTTATCGCCCGTTTCTATAATTCCAAAGGAAAGGTAATTGTGCCACCAGGAGTGGATGAGAAGACCAATGTGACCGCTTATCATGGCGAGAGTAGTGGTGAAGGCTCGAAGTTCGAGGGTGGTAAAAATATGCCTGAGCAGACTCCACCAATCTCCGAGAGCGGCGAGGTCCCGAGAGAGGGTAAAATGGACGTGGATGAGGACGTACAATGTGAGAAAGCCAATGTTGTTGTTGGCAATGCTGATGGTCGCTTACAGGAGGTAGCTACGACTGCTACCGCCGGTTGCGACGATCAGCTTCTTCCCGATTCTGGGGACGTTGGGTGTTTGGACGATTTGATGGACTTGTCGGATGAACTGAAGGGGGAAGAGGATTGCTTAGGTAGAGCACTTGGGTCGCTCAAAATTCATGTTTAGGTTGCTGGGTGAGGTCTACTGGTTTGATATTGAATGTTGTTGTTGGAATAAGATGCAGTGGTCTATGCTAGAGAGAGCAGTGTTTGTCAAACCTTAGTGTCTTTTGCTAATGTCATTGTTGACTTCTTGAAACCTCATAATGCCAATACCAGTTATTTACCTATAGTACGTACTAAGGTGCTTAACCTCTTTGTCTGAAGATTGGGGAAGGTAGAAGCATTACTAGTAGCTCAAAATCACGCTTCCAAGCCGCACCACAAGTATTGTCCATCACAACTCACAACGTCAGGGAAGAATTATATAAACAGTACAGAATTATATATCAAAAGTGTTATCACACAAATAAATTCCAAAACATGCACTCATCAGAAACTCTACTCCAGGACCAGCTTTGTGTCCGACCATACCATAACTCGCGGTCGGGCCGTAAGCTGCACCCTTCGGCACCGGTGGGGATAAGCGGATAGGAATTTGAGGAGTGGGAACCAAATCCCCTTCCTTAGTTACTCCACTTTACGCAGTAGCTCAGGCAATGGGGATTAGGCGGGCCGCATACCCGCCGTGTCCAGTTTACGTAGTGCGATGCATATGACGGAGCACAGATGCGACTTGCACATTGGGGGAAAAGGAAGTGCAGTCAGTAGTGAGAGTACGTAGCCCCTCATTATGCGGGGTTGGGGAGTATAGAAAGATACTGCTTACACACAACTTAAGTAGCCTATGCTGACCAGGAATTCATCGCATTTTGTCTATCACCTTTAATCTTTTCTGCATATCATCTGCTCATCATGACCACGAGAAGCGACTGCAACGTCCACGGCCTCGAGTTCCGTGAAGCAAAACCCTCGCAGGGAGATCCTGCTCGTCCTGTTGCTGATCTCTTTCGTCTTGATAATCGCACTATCATCAGTATATCTCCTGCAATCCGTATTTAGTGTATTGCATGGACCTGCTAACAGCAACGCTTCCATACAGTCACCGGCGCTACCGGCTTCCTAGGCACCACGCTCGCCATTGCGATCCTCGAAAGCGGCGGTGATGTCGTCTGTCTTGATCTCGCACCCGTCCCGAATTCTCCGGATTGGCGTACGTCCTTCCCAATTCCCCAATCCGATAGTGGGATAGAAGTGCCACTAACCAGCGTCTGATTACAGATAAAGTCGAAGCCGCCGCGCAAAGTCACGCCCGCCAACTAACCTACTACCCCCTCGACGTAACGGACGAATCCAATGTAGAGAAAACTTTCACCCAGTTCATCCCTACCCTACGATACCCGCTCAAGGGTCTTGTCGCCTGCGCAGGCCTATCTCGCAATGGTCCCGCGACCGAATTCCCCGTCTCATCATTCCGCCGGATGCTAGATACCAATGTGACGGGAACGTTTCTCATCGCGCAGGCGGCGGCCCGGGAAATGCTCAGGACGAATACTACGGGCAGCATGGTATTTGTGGCTAGTATGAGTGGTTATGTGTCGAATAAGGTTAGGACGATATCTTCTGTAGTCGTGCGAGAGAGTGGGCTGACATGGTACTTTGTTACTAGGGCGTGGATACAGCCGGATACAACGCCTCCAAGGCGGCCGTTCATCAACTCACGCGGTCTCTAGCTGCCGAGTGGGGATCGAGGGTTGGAATGCCTTTGATTAGGGTCAATTCGCTCTCACCTGGGTATATTCGGACTGCGGCGACGGCTGAAGCGCTTCAGAAGCCAGGGATGGAGAGCCAGTGGGTGGGTGATAACATGCTGTTTCGGTTAAGTACGGCGGATGAGTTCCGGGCACCGGTGCTTTTCATGCTTGGGGATGGGAGTAGTTTTATGACTGGGGCGGATTTGCGCGTTGATGGGGGGCATTGTGCGTGGTAGGGAGGGAGTGTCTTATCTGTGTTTGTTTGTGGGGGATATCTAGACGGGCTCCAAGTTAAATGTAATATGAAGCGAGAGCTCTGTTTGTTCTTGTTGTCTGTTATTTGGAGTAATAAATGAAAGTGTAAGATGGGTGACTATTAGGACCACAAACAAGCACAAGGACGTAGTCACCTGATCATGGAGAATCTGACGAACATGAAGGCAGTTAGATTTCTCCTGACATCTATCTATCGGTTTGGCGATTACCCTCTCCCCTTTCCACATGGCCCACGACTTGGAATATACCCAGAATATATCCAGCTTCACCATGGCTGATCGACCCAAACCCAAAGCGCAACTTCCCGTCAACTTCTCAATCTACGAACCCCCATCTGCCTCACCTGTCTCCCAAATACCATGAGGACAATCACCCCTCCAAAAGCTGGGAGCGTAATCAGCCCAGCAGTGCCGAACAGCCATCCCGGACCAACTCTATCGTTCCATGGGGCGATGAAGACAGCCGAGAGAACTCCCAAAACAAGCCTCCAAACTCCCATCCCTGCCGACACCTCTGAAACATGGTTCGGGAAACATTCACAGAGATACGTCATTGCAACCGGGAGAAGGGAGATGGCACCGAAGGTGAGGAGAAGAAATCCGAGTGCCAAAAGCACCCAATGGTAATGGTACTCTAAACTAGCACCAAATAGGCCAAGGCCTATGGGAAGCATTATCACTGGGACCCAGAGACAGTGAAGCCGGTATTCCGGGCGCCATTCTGTAGGTTCAATATCCTGCGACTTGGACTTTCGGTGGAACAAATATAAAGGAAGTCTGTCGCTGATGAAGTGGCCGTATAATTCCGCGAGTGCGGTGCCGATTGCTTGGGTGAGCGTGACTGTGGTGCTCAGGTTAACGGCCAAAATGAACTAGGGGAGAGTCTGAGAGCGTACATGAAGCCATCGAAATCTTTGACATTGCGTATCCACCTTCGTCTCGAGGGGCTTCAACGAAGGTGACACCGAGGATAATGGCCATTGAAGCAAAGCCAAAGTCTACCATCATGACGAAACCCACGATTATTGACACGGGAGAAAACGACACTAGGAAGATATCAGAAAGAATGGATACCTTATGAATATCAGCCTAAGTTACGAGTGCTGGTGATACGGTAAGAATAAGACTCACCATGTTCTTCCAGCTTGCTCTAAGCTGTGGTGGAACCGCTCTTCCTCGGAGATACATGTTCCATTTTTCTGATGTAAAGGATTGCCGCACTTGTTCTCCCCCCGCAAATGCTGCCTCTTCAATAAAGACAAGGATCAACAGAGCCAACACCCCATTCATGGGTACAGTATACCAGAAAGAGATAGGCCACGAAGCTCTCGCATCAACATATGCACCTAATGTTGGGCCAATTGCAACCCCTAAGAGGAAGGGAATATGCAGTATATGCAGACATTTACCTCGCTGATGCCGGAAGTAAGTCCGCAAGACGAACTCGGAGCCAAGGACTAAAGGTACCCCTGCGCATAGACCGGCGAAGAGACGAGAGATCACGAATGGAATGTAATCCGATGGACTAGTCATCATGGCAGACCATACCGAGCTGAAAAGCATGCCGATGGTTGACCAGAAAAGACAGAAGCAGGAGCCGTACCTACGGCTAAGAGGAACGACTAGGATAGAGGAGACCATGATCCCAATGAGCCCGCATGAGACCTCTTACTCTCAGTAATATGTTGCTATATCAATGTGTGCTACTTACGGCGAGAGAAACCTGAGTAGCCGTCTTGTGATACAGAGGTGCTTGGAGATATGATCCCTGCATGTTCGTCATAGCAGTGGCTTGACTAGAAAAACAAGCAATAGCCCATATCGAAAGTACACGCGCCTTTCTCGAGGGCTTCCAGTTCTGCTTTCGTCAGTTTTTTATTCGCTTAAACTCGACAAAGAACATACCAAGGGATCATTAGGGTCGTCTGATGGCTGCGGATCGAGCACGAGCCCATCAGGGGTGGTTTTGAGGCCATGAACAACCTCCTGGGTCTTCTCCTCATCGAACATGGTCGCAAAGTTGGTGGTTGAGAGATTGTATTCTGCTTCGATCGAGATTCATGATGGCGGTGGTGCTGGTGAGCCCCTTGCATCTGGAGATACTAGGACCTGAAGTTTGACTTCGACTAGCACCATATCGTACAGATAAGATATCTGTTCCTTGATTGCAGGTTTCATCGCGATGAAGTTACCCCGTTGCTATCGGAAAAAAGTTAACAATGAACAATGCATAGGTCGTGCAGCTGGTCCGAGCTCCAGTCCCCTCTCGAGTCGCACTTGCTGCAGTGATACCCAAGCACCCCTCATTCAGCATGAGATAAATATTCTCCTGCTCGTAAGCTCCTGAGATCTGTACCTACCACTAGGATTAACTCCATATAGGCACAATGACCCTAACCGAGACGCCCTTCACCATCGACAACCTTCCCTACGGTGTAATCTCCACCGCGGAGACACCAACTCCAAGATGCGCGACTGTTCTGGAGGACGATGTCATAGATCTGAGTGCACTTGAGAAGGATGGATATTTCAAGTCAATTCCGGGATTCAAAGGCGAAGTATTCTCTATGGTATCTGATAGACACCAGTCCTCCTTCATTTTCTAATAAACAAGGCCTAATCTCTCTACAGCCAACTTTGAACGAGTTCGCCTCTCTTCCCAAAGAAGCCCACGTACAGACCAGAGCAGCGCTTGTCGACCTTCTCTCCGACAATGATATCCGCAAAAAATATGCCATTCCCCTCTCAACAGTGCAAAACCATCTCCCAATGGAAACAAAGAACTTCAGCGACTTTTACTGTTCGTTCGAACACACCAGAAACGTACGTCTACCCCATCATCACTCTCTGCATCCAGACACTCAAAACACCAGTGCTCCGAACTCTTCTCCATGAAGCCTCCAGCCTCATGGTTTGTCATTCCCTCTGTCTACAACGGACGGCAAAGCAGTCTCCGCATCTCCGGCACTCCGATCCGACGACCCTGGGGTGTGACGCTCGACTCCAACAAACCCAACGACCCACCAGCTTTCAGACCCAGCGCACGCTTTGATTTTGAGCTAGAAATGGGCGTTTACCTATCCCATCCACTCCCCCCTGGCGAGATCCTCAACATCAACAACGCAAAGGACCACATCTTCGGATTGGTCATCCTGAATGACTGGTCTGCAAGGGATATCCAGACATACGAAATGGCACCACTGGGCCCATTCCACAGCAAGGGCTCGGGAACGAGCATCTCACCATGGATTGTACCTATCGAGGCACTGGAGGGGTCATACTGTAATGCGAGGGTGCAGGACCCGGCACCCTTGAAACACCTAGCATGGAAGGGCAGAGAAACCGAGGCAACATTCGATATTGAATTGAAAGCGAGGGTTATCAGTAAGCCTTCCCTTCACCGCTCCTTGTCATCGCCCCTCCATCCTTGGGCCACCATGACACGATACTGAGAGATACACAGGAAACGGAAAATCCTACACCGTCACAGAAACAAATCTAAAGGAGCTTTACTGGACTCCGTTCCAGCAGGTTACCCATCTCTGTAGTGCAGGCGAGGGGCTCTCAACCGGAGATATCTTCGGCACGGGCACCATAACCAGCGATGTATGTAACACCTCCCCGGTTCTCTATCATCATCTTACTATATAGAGTTATAAAGACTAACTAACAACCAATGAAAGCGCCTCAATGCCCAAGGCGAACAAATCGGAATCGCCTGCCTCCTAGAGCGAGGACTGAAAAGAAACATCCTCTCCGAAGCCAGCAAGGACGGACTCGAGTTCCTTGCAGACGGAGACGAAGTCATCATGGAAGGATGGTGCTTTAACCGTCTCACGGGGGGTAAATTCGGGTTTGGAGAGTGTCGTAGTATCATCCTTCCTGCTTTGAAGGAGGGATCTTGGGAGTGAGTGAGTGAGTGATAACTCGTGGCCTAATCACGCAATGCATCAACCAGCCTTGAGCAGTTCGGAATGTGCATTTGTATCTAGATACTACGTAGTAGTATCGGTGAAGGATGGACGGGTGGTGGAAGAATGCTTTCTAATATCTTTCCCCATCCAGTATGAAATATCCTGAAATGATCGGACTGTGTACGTACTCAATAACAGTAGCCGATGAGTATAATTCCCACTATTTTCATGTTCAATCATTGATGAGTACTAGTAGTAGAACCACAAGGTAAAAAGAAAATCCTCCGAGAAGTTAATACAATTTCCTCCGATTGGCATTTGCAGTTACTACTCTCCTCTCCCTGTCTAAGTACTAACTCTTGGACCCCCTTGCTGACTAGGCTGACATTAATCTCCTCAGGCAAAGACCACCCACCAAATACACAATGGCATCGTGAATAAAGAAGATTGGAATCGAATTTTGAAGAACAGGCGACGATGAGTATTATATAAGGGAGGGGATAAGAATTAAATTAGAAGAATTATGTATAGTAGATACTATTTAGAATTCCCAATATTCATTTCTCTGTGAAACTCAGATATTATTCATTCAGTTAGTTATCATGGGATAGAAGAAGTGAGGGGGTTGCGGTTTAGGAGAGGTCGAGTGTCAAACACGGCTTTATTTTTGGGAAAGGATTTGAATTTTAATCTAGTATGGAGGTATTTTTTTATGAGTAGTATTTTGGTGCGGGATTATATTATGGCGACAGGGACTAGAGGGATTAAATGGGGAGCAATCGGAAGGTCAGGAATGAATGGGAGAGGAAAAGGGGAAGAGAAAGAGGGGAAAGAAAGCAAGCGCGGGGGCGGCCACATATGCGGCATCATCGAACATCGTGTGCTCTTTTCTTTCAACTACAACCATGTCAAAACTTCGAGGTAAACTTCGGGAAAACACTCGCTTTGAATTCATTCTAGGCTAGAATTTTGATTCTTATGGTCATCAAGCGTTATCATCAACTTTCATCCATCTAAAGACCGATATCCAACTGGCGCTACAAATTCAGGACATCTCACACGAGGTGGCAGAGACGGTGTGCAACCGCATCACTCATGCTTGGGCTTTTTCGACAAGAGTCAAATCTCCCGCGCCCGTACGAGTCCTCTGGTCGACACGACAAGGCATCGTCCCTGGTCG